TTGATTTCTTTGCTCTTTATAAAAAGTTGTAGGCATTACTCGTTTCCCACAATTTCATATGTGCTGGAAGTCTAAGCATGTGATTAAAAACCTGTGAATAGTGAAATAGGCAACAGGGTTTGTGGATCATTTGTAAGCATATTTTGTGCTCATACCTCTAAAGAAATAGTTCCAAATCATAACAATGACCAATAGTCTCTCTCCTTTCTAATGTCACTGACTGGAGATCCTTATAAATTAACTTGCACTTGACTACACTGGTTTTACCTCCTAGAAAACAATTACCACCAATGGTAGAATAAAGTTTACCTCAGCATTCAATACAGAAAAAGGTCTTGCTTCCTTGCATAGCAATCAAATCATCTAACACAAGCCAAAATCTTATTAAAGGTCCTTTTGGGTACCCTGTTACTATTACACTGGACAGTCATTCATGGTTTATGATCATTCTTATTAGAATTCATTACACTTCCCTTTTTAAATTAAATCTATTTGGTAATATTGGATAATAACATTACATGTCAGATGTACAACTTTATAATACATCTGTATAACCTATTATGTACTCACCACTAGAAGGCTAGTCTCCTATCATCACATACTTGATACCTTTTACCCTCTTTATACTCACCCATCTTCCTCCCACTCTGGTATCCACCATCCTGTTATATCTTCGCATTTGTTTAGTTTGCTTAGTTTATTCATTTGCTGCTTTTTGTTTTATAATCCTACATAAAAGTGAAATGACACAGTACTTGGCCTTCTGTCCTATTTCACTTAGAATACTCTCAAGATCCATCCATGCTGTCACAGACGTCACTATTTAATCTTTTCATGGCTGAGTAGTATTCCATTTATACATGTTCACATCTTCATTAACATCATCTGTCAAAAGACATTTAGGTTGTTTCCATGTCTTGGCTGTTGTGTAGCCAATAATGCTGTAATGAACACAGGGCACATAAATCTTTACAAATAAATGTTTTCAAAATTTTCCAGGAGATACCCAAAAGAGGGATCGCTGGGTCATATGGTATCTAAATTTTTTGAGGAAAATTTTTTTGTTTTCCATAGTAGCTGCACCAATTTACAGTTCCACCAGCAGTTTGCAGAGGTTACCTTTTCCTCACATCCTCTCCAACACGTTATTTCTTGTCTTATTGATAATACTATTAACAGATGTGAGGACTACATTTCTTTTTGGCTACAGGTGCGAGCCTGTGGATCACACAGAAAGAGGTAATGAGGAAACCATGATTTATGTTTTTTATATTATGAAAAACAAATTAGAGACAAAAATTGTACCCATAAAAAAGTAAAAAAGATTTGCAAGCAAAATGAAATATATAGATGATATATTTTTAATTTATACACCAGAAACATATTAACCAATGTTATTCCAATGTATTTAATTTTTTAAAATTTGTCTTAGAAAAAATACACCTGAACTTATAAGTGCAGTTTGAAAATTCACAAATATTTGACAAAAAATGCACATACTTTAAAAAAATTTTTATTGATTAATCACAAAAATTCAAACATAACTGAACATATACTGAGGGGTTACACCCAGCTTCAAGTAACAGAAAACACCCAGTCTTTCTGACAGGAGGAAGGTGCAGATTCTTACATGGAAGGACTGGGTCAAGGTAACCACTGCACATGCCACAGAGAAACAAGCACCCATATCATTTTTTGACTGCACCAATGTAGACAGCATGGTGAATCAGGAAAACATACTAACACAATTAACAGCATAAAGCTGTTTCCTATACCAATTAGAGCTTATACGGACATAACCCAGAGAAGGGGGAAATCACAGAATACAAGATGAAAGGCTGAAATAGGTGTAAGGAAAACTACACCTCTAAGAAAATAAAAATCAAACAATTGGTAGTTTAGAAGATACTCTTGATGGGAAGGAAAAAGATTCTAAAATTTTAGCTAGGAAATGGTGTATCATAGCTGGTTATCTGTCTCTCCCCCTGTATGGTGGCTCTCCATTATCTTATGCTGTTTTTGCTTCTGCCTTCCAAGTCTCATGCAAGTAAATTCTACTATGGAATCATAGTGGAAATAAATTCTGGAAAATCTAGTTCTTAATGTTACCCATAGAAGGCATATCTCCAACTCTAGAGATTTTGTCCGTTATCAAGGGTCTTTTTTTTTCTTTAACAATTTAAATATATTTTATTGATTTTTTTACAGAGAGGAAGGGAGAGGGATAGAGAGTTAGAAACATCAATGAGAGAGAAACATCGACCAGCTGCCTCCTGCACACCTCCTACTGGGGATGTGCCCGCAACCAAGGTACATGCCCCTGACCAGAATCGAACCTGGGACCTCTCAGTCCGCAGGCTGACGTTCTATCCACTGAGCCAAACCGGTTTGGCTCAGGTCTCTCTTTTTAAATAAAAATGTATTCAACATATGCCAGTCAAGAGAAAAATAAAAAGCAAAGGACAAAATATGGAAAATAATTCACACAATATATTCTTTCACAAACTTTACATAATTGTAACATACTCCTTTGTAAGGAAAATGGAAAAAGGCTCTTATACCCATCATCCCCAAAAAGGGAGTATAGGAAGGAAGAATGCATATAACGGACTATAGATACCCAGGAACTGTCACAAGGTCACTAGGAAAATCCCAAGTTACACCAAACTGCCTTTTTGTTTTTGTTTTCAAATTTGTATTTGAAATATACATATATTTACTGTGTGTATATATATATGTATATATGTTATATATATACATAATTTATATCTACATCTGTATCTAGATATATAGATAGGGTCTCCCCAAAATCTATAGACTTTGAATGATTATAAAGTCAGTTTTCAATATACAGTTCATTTTCAAAATGTAAGAGAACCTACAGAAATGAGTACTTTTGTCAATGCCTGTTTTTCAAACTAATGACCGGCACTGCTGATAATGTGAAGCAATGGAATCGCCAACATCAAGAATCATTTTGTTCAGTATTTGTGTGCCCTCAATTTGTGTTGCTGGTTTTGTACTGTAAACTTACAAAAAAAAGTCTAGTGGATAAATTTTATTTGTTCAAAGTTTAATCTGGTTTTACTCATTATTTCAAATCACTTAAAACTGAAAAGGAGTGAAAATTGAGTTATCAGCTGTCTGTGTATTTATTTTGGGGAGTGGGAAGGACACGTCAGATGTACAACTTTATAATACATCTGTATAACCTATTATGTACTCACCACTAGAAGGCTAGTCTCCTATCATCACATACTTGATACCTTTTACCCTCTTTATACTCACCCATCTTCCTCCCACTCTGGTATCCACCATCCTAACTTCCAGTAGCATTTTAGGATGTATTTACTTTATTCAAAGCTTAGTCTGGCTGAAGAAAAACATCAACTGAGCTATAACCTGTTAAAGTATGGATACATGTTTTTGGGACACCCTGTATATTTGTTGTTGAAATCTAGTTCTCCATTGATATTTTAGAGAAAGTGGAAGGGATGGAGGGATGTGGGAGGGGAGGGGAGGGAGAAATAGAAACATCCATATGAGATGTTGACTGGTTGCCCTGTGCATGTGCCCTAACCAGGGCCAGGGATGGAACCCATGACCCTTTGGTGTGTGGGCCAATGGCTCTAACCACTTAGACACACTGGCCAGGGCAACAAGGAATACATTTTTCTGTAAATAACTTCGTTGAGAACTGAATTGTTCAAGATGGAAGACATTTGAGAACCAAAGTTTGACTGTATATGGTTTCTCTCCACTGTGCACTCACAATCCATGATTTTCCAAAGGGGTATGTTACAAACAAAGGCTTTTCCATATTCCTTACATTCGTAGGTTTTTGTTTAGTATGAGTTTATTCCCATCTGGAGAGAAACTGTGTTCTGTGTAGGTTTTACCACATTGCTTACATTCATAGGGTTTCTCTCCAGTTTGAAATCTTTCGTATCTTTGATACAAACTAAGGCGAGTGAATGCTTTCCCACATTCCTTACATTGATAAGGTGTTATTGCAAGGATGTATTTTCATGTGTCTTTGAAGGGATTTGTGAGAAACGTAGGCTTTACCACAATGTTTACACATATAAGGTTTCTCTCCTGTGTGAGTTCTTTCATGTGTTTGTACAGAACGATAAGATTTGAAGACCTTTCCACACTCTTTACATTCATAGTGTCTCTCTGCAGTGTGTGTTTTTTCATGTATTCGAAGATTACTTAGATACTTGAGTGCTTTACCACATTTTGTACATGCATAGCGCTTCTCTCCAGTGTGAGATATTTCATGTATTCGTAAGGAACTGTAATAGTTGAAGATTTTTCCACATTCCTTACATTCATAGCGTTTGCATCCAGGGTGAGAAATTTGGTGTGTTTGTAAATAACTAAAAGATTTGAAGACTTTTCCACATTCCTTACATTCATAAGGTTCCTCTCCTGTGTGAATCTTTTCATGTGATTTTAAGTAACGGGGAGATCTGAAGGCTTTTCCACAATTCTTACATTCATAGGGTTTCTCAGCGCTGTGAGTTTTTTCATGTTTTCGAAGATAACTGATATCGCTGAATGCTTTACTACATTTTTTACACTCAAAGGGTTTCTCTCCAGTGTGAGACCTTACATGTGTTTGCAAGGACCTAGGATATCTGAACGCTTTTCCACATTCCTTACATACATAGGGTTTCTCTCCTGTGTGAGCCCATTTGTGTGGTAGTAAAGAACTGCAAGATCTGAAAGCCTTTCCACATTCCTTACATTCATAGGGCTTTTCTGCAGTGTGCGTTCTTTCATGTATTTGAAGATTACTGAAATATTGGAATGCTTTACTACATATTTTACATTCATGTAGTTTTTCTTTAGTATGACTTCTTTTATGGCTTTGAAAACTTGGATAATTTCTGAGGGCTTTTCCACTGAGTCCACACTGATAAGGCTTCTCTCCAGGGTGCTTTCTCTCACAAATTTGAAATGAAGTTGAAGAACTAAAGGTTTTCCCACATTCCTTACTTTCACAGGTTTTTTCTCCATTGTGAGTTCCTTTATGATTTTCCAAACACTGAAGATAACTGAAGGCTTTCCCACATATGTTACATTTATATGGCTTCTCTTTATATTTCCGATACTCAGAGGGCTTGCGTCCAGCATGACATCTGACGTGCCTATTATGGGATGAATGATCCATGAAGACGTTCCCACATGCATTGTATATGCATGGTTTCAGTCCAGAAAGTGTTTTCTTGTTTAGACTGAGGTTTGGACTAAAGCTGAAGTTTTCTCCACATTGACTACCATTTTCCCCTTCACCGAGTTTTTCTAACATAAGACTTCTGTAAAAAACAAGCAAATTATTAATGATTTTCAGTTACTGATTTTAATATTAGTGGAATATTTGAACAATTTTATGATTTAAAGCAAAAACGTAGATTTTCTGCCTTGTGTACATTGTTTGAAATTCAATACACTGAAAGCTCTGGAGACAGCTTCACCCTTGTTATTATCAATACAGTGATATTCAGAGGCAGGTTTAAGATGACATTCAAGTTTGCTGCTGAACTCAACCCCTCCCAATACACCGAATGTACACCTATATTTTGAGCAGCGATTCCTCCTGAGAGATAACTGTGAGTCAACTGAACTACATCTGCACAACAAGCAAGAGAGAAAGACCACAGAGAGGAAGTTGGAAACCACTGGAGCTGAGGGCACAACCCAGAACCAAAGCAACTGGTGAGCATCACTAGATATGTTTCCTCAACATGTGGACAGTGGGTGAGAGAGCCATCCAGGTTTTCTGGCCAAGCTGCAGGGTGCTGTAGCATGTCCTTAAGCCACCCTTCCGAGAGCTAGATCCAGCAGAAACAGGAGGGCACCATAGCTTACATACAAGGGGATCCTTCCACTGGGGGAACTGATTCAGCAAGTACAGGAAGGTGCTGCTTTGTACACCCACTTTACTGCATGTACAAGCAGGGCTCCCCCACCAGGAGAGAGTGCAGAGCCATCTAAATGCTGTGATACTTGCCTGCAGGACTACCCTGTCGAGAGAAAGTGCAGAGATAGTGGGTGCAGCTGCGCATACACGTGAGACTGCCCTGTCTGAGAGAAGTCAGAGCTAGCAAAACTTTGCAGTATCCACATGCAGGGTTGCCACTTGCAGAGAGTGAGTGGGGTACTGCTGTGCACGTGCAGGGATACCCCACCAAGACTGGGTACAGAATTCATGACAAATGACTGTGTGCATATGCAAGGCTGCTCCACCCAGAGCTAGCAGGGCATTGAGATGCAAACCCTGCTTTGGCAGAGGACAATTAGAGCAACTGGGCACACACATATGGCGAGCCATGTAGAGTGAGTGGGGCACAGCTGAGTGCACAAGGAGTTGTAGTGCCCAGAGAAGAAGCAAAACTAGCAAAGTGGAGCTGTGTGCACACAGTAGGCTTACTCAACCTGGAGAGGGGGGAAGCGGGTGGGGAGACACAATCATATAAAGTGGACCTGTAACACCCTGCTGATAACAGACAATAAAGCAAAAGATTAAGCCAAGAGCACAAAAAGAAGCCCCACCAGGGTTAGAAGGGAAAGGCAGCATGCACACACAAGGCTGTCCCACCTGGAACCCACTCTTTCAGGCCAGGTGACACCAGGCAGTATATGCACCCACCTCAACTAAAACCGGCAAAAATTATTTGACACACAGTCTACATAGAGACCAATTTTTAAGATTAGGAGAGATAGCTATTATATCCAACTCAGGAACAAACACAGAGAGTCAACTAAAACGGGAAGACAAAAGAATATGGCCCAAATGAAGGAACAACAATAAAATTCCAGAGAAAAGTCCTAATGAAATGGAGATAATTTGCCTAATAAAGAATTCAATGAAATGGTCATAAGGATGCTTAATAAACTTCTGAGTAGAATAGAGGAACTTAGATAGCACTTCAACGAAGAGACAGAAAAGGTAATAAAGAACCAAGCAGAGTCCTGGCCGGTTTGGCTTGGTGGATAGAGCGTCAGCCTGCAGACTGAAAGGTCCCAGGTTTGATTCCAGTCAAGGGCATGTACCTTGGTTGCGGGCACATCCCCAGTGGAAGGTGTGCAGGAGGCAGCTGATCAATGTTTCTCTCTCACTGATGTTTTTAACTCCCTTTCCCTCTTCCTTCCTCTCTGTGAAAAATCAATAAAATACATTTTTTTTAAAAAAGAACCAAGCAGAGATAAGGAATACAATAACTAAAATGAAGTATACATTACAAGGAATTGACAACAGATTAGTTAATACAGAACTATAGAGTACCAACCTGGAAAACAAAATAGAGGAAATTAGCTAATCAAAACAACAAAATTAAAAAAAAAATTTTTTTAAATAAGGATAATATCAAGAGAGTTCTGGGATAACATCAAAAACACTAATATTCACATTATAGGTATTTCAGAAGGAGAAGAAAGGGGCAAAAAAGAATACTTGTAGAAATAATGGCTAAAAACTTTCCTAACCTAGGAAAGGAAACAGACATTCAGATCCAGGAAACAGAGTTCCAAACAACATGAAGCCAAGAGACCCTAACCAAGACATGTTGTAATTAAAACAGTAAGTATCTATACATATAAAAGCCTAAGTGACTATTAAGACCAAAAAACAGGAACGACTGGTTGACCAATCGCTATGACGTGCACTGACCACCAGGAGGCAGACGCTCAGTGCAGGAACTGCCCCCTAGTAGTCAGTGCACTCCCACAGCCAACCTCCCGCATCCCTTCCCCCGCCCAGGCCAGCCGGTCAACCTCCCATGGTTCCTCCCCCTCCCGGCAGCCACCCATGGTCCCTCCCCCCAGCCAGTCCTTCCCCCTGGCCAACCTCTCACGGTCCCTCCCCCAAGCCAGCCGGCCCTGATCTGCCCCGATCAGGGCCAGCTGGCCAGCCAACCTCCCGTGGTCCCTCCCCTGTCCCTCCTGCTGGATGGCAGGCCCTGATCAGCCCGGCCCCGATCGGGACTGGATGAGATGGCCCCAATGGGCCCTGATCGCTGGCCAGGCCTAGGGACCCCACCTGTGCATGAATTCATCATACACTGGGCCTCTAGTTAAAGATAAAGATACAATCTTAAAGGGAGCAAAAATGAAACAAGTCATATACAAGTGATAGCCTATAAGGCTATCAGCTCATTTTTAAGATGCAACTTTACAGGCCAGAAGGAAGTGGCAGGAAATTATTAAAGTGTTGAACAAAAGAAATCTACAACCTAGAATACTAAATCCAACAAGGCTATCATTCAGAATTGAGGTAGAGATGAGTTTCCCAGACAAATAAAAACAAAAGAATCACGATTTCGCTTATATGTGGAATCTAATGAACAAATTAAACTAACAAACATAATAGAAACAGACTCATACAGAGACAGACTGAGAGCTGTCACAGAGGAGGGGGATTGGGGACTGAGTGGATGAGTAAATGAAAAAGGTAAAGGGATTAAATTAGAAAAAAAAATATATATATATATATGTATCTCACAGACATGGAAAGGGGCATGGGAAGGGCGGATAGAAGAGGGCAAAGGGATGATAAATGGAGATAGAAGGAGACCTGACCTAGAGTGGTGAACACATAATACAATATACAGGTGATGTATTATAGAATTATACACTGAAGCCTAAATAATTTTAAAAAGGAGTTCATAACCACTAAACCAGCCTTAAAAGAAATGTTAAAAGGTATTCTTTATACAGAAAAAACAAAGGACATAATGCAAAAATATATAGGAAAGACAATAATCTCACTAGTAAAGGCAAGTAAATAATAATCACAGTAAATCAATCACTTAAAAACTAATATGAAAGTTAAAAGACAACAGTAGCAAAATTAACTATAATAAATAATCAGAAGATACACAAAAAGACAAAACATGACATCAAAAATATGAAGAGTGGCAGAAAGGAGTAAAAAAATAGTGCTTTTAGAATGCAGTTGAATTTAAATGCCTATCAGCTTAAAATAGACTGCTTTAAATATAGATGACTATATAAACCTTATGTCAACCATAAGCCAAAAACATGTAAAAAAATGAGAAAGGAATCTAATTGAAACACTAAAGAAAACACGGACTAAAAAACTAAAGACATAGAAGCATAGAACAGTCTGTGGAATCTCAAGAGAGGCGGGGTGGGTGCATGGGTAGGAAGAACTTATATGCCCATATGGATAATCCATGGACACAATGTGGTGAGAGCCTAGGGTGGGGGATGGGTACGGGCTAGAAGAGATCAATGGGGGAAAAAGGGAGACATCTGTAATACTTTCAATAATAAAAATACATTAAAAAAATTTTTAAAGACAGCATAGCAGAATAGACAAAAAGCTGACTACCGTATGCTACTTACAAGACACTCATTTCATTTTATATTGAAAGACACACAGGCTGAAAGTGAAGGAATGGAAAAAGATTTTTCATGTAAATTTAAACGAAAAGAAAGCTGGGGTAGCAATATTCAGATCAGACAAAATAGACTTTTTAAATATATTTTTACTGGTTTCAGAGAGGAAGGAAGAGGGAGAGAGAGACAGAAATATCAATGATGAGAATCATTGATTGGCTGCCTCCTGCCCGCCCCCTACTGGGGATCGAGCCTGCAACCTGGGCATGTGCCCTGACTGGGAATCAACCTCCTGGCTCATATGTTGATGTTACTGAGCCATACCAGGCGGGCTCTCCCAAACATTTTATTTTATTTTATTTATTTTTAATATCTTTTTATTGATTTCAGAGAGAGGAAGGGAGGAGTTATAGAAACATCATGATGAGAATCACTGATTGCACACCCCCCACTGGGGATCGAGCCCGCAACCCAGACATGTGCCCTTGACCAAAATCGAACCCGGGACTCCTCAGCCCACAGGCCAACGTTCTATCCATTGAGCCAAACCAGGTAGGACTCTCCCAAACATTTTAAAGAAGAATTAGTAATTATCCTCAAACTACCCCAAAAAAATTGAAGAGGAAGAATGCTTCCAAACTCATTCTATGAAGTCATTATCACTATAATACCAAAACCAGACAGACACTACAAAACAAAGAATTATAGGCCAATATCCCTGGATGAATATAGATGCCAACATTCTCAACAAAATACTAACAAACCAAATTCAACAATACATTAAAAGGATTATATACATTATCAGGTGGGTATTACTCCTGCAATGGAGGTTCACCATCTGTAAAACAATGTGGTTCATCACATCAATAAAACCAAGGGCAAAAAATCGTATCATCTCAATAGATGAAAAAAAAGCAATTGACAAAATCAGTATCTACTTATGATAAAAATTCTA